TTTTTTTATCTCGGCTCTATACCTTCGTCTTCTCCGACAACTCTACTACAGTCTATCCAAGATCCACATGTTTTCAAATTACATTACTCGTTTAGCGATGAGTCAAGCACGTTCTCCCACGCCTACTCTTTGTTAAAAAGTTATAATCGCATAGCCTTAAAGTAAACTCTCATTCCCAGCAACAACACTCCTAATGGGGCTTTTTGGACCGATTACGGTTCGGGAGCTCTCGAGGCCTATTAAACCCATTTGAAATGGAATATTTTGTGTAGGTATCTTGAGTCCTTCAGACAGAATCAAACAAAAAGTCTTTTTTTTTCTGAAGTCATATTCCTTAATCGGAATCAAATTGCAAAAGTGTTGCGATCTCCACTTTCATAAGATATTTATGAGCATGAATTTGCTTTAGTCTGATGCACTCTTCAATCACGCTTCAAGGATGTGTCCCGTACATAGTAAAACTTACGCTGCTCATTTGTATCTGCACACACCCTCGCTGTCCTTTTGCACTTCTTATGCAATTTACTCACCACGCTCTATAATAGCGCGAGGCCTCGGACATTCCTGAAGCTTTTTTTTTCGCGCACTTGCCACTTTGACTTGAGAAAGTATAGCACGTCTCTGGAGCTGTTCGCGTGCGTTACGATGAGTAGTTCCGCCTGGTTCGTCCTTCTAATGCTTCTGCTCACCAACGATTTTTTATTACGATTCTATGAATCCTAGTCGTAGAGTTTCTCAAGTCCCAACATGTCCATGTACTTGCTTTTTTAATCGCCTAGGCCTTGTTATATAAAGACGAATTTTGACTTTTCTTTCGTTAACATGCTATGTAGAATATCCGAAGTCGTGTTATAGCCAAAATGTTTCAGAGAGTAATTTTCAAAAATCTGGTAAGTCTTAAAATTCACTCGCAAATGGGGTCGGTCATTCCGGCTAAGAGGGAAATAATATACACACTTAAAGAATCATTTTGCAAATTGGAACGATACTTCGGCTTAGAATAATATTCAAAAAATTATGTAAACATTCTAAGACCCATTTCGCAAATGGGATAAGTATTTCCGCTAGGGATAAATTTCAAGAGAATCATGTAAACATTCTAAGAGTCACGCAAATAGGATCACTGCTCTCGCTCTGTATAAATTCGCCTCTTTGCCATTGACTGACTTTCCATATGTGCAGAGTCAGGGATTTGGAAAGATTAGCGAATTCGCGTAAGCTTAAAAAACCTTTTCTTTGTTATACGAAATCTTCATCTGCCGTGGCAACTTCTTTTGTTTCTCGAACACGTTAGAGAAGCTGAGCTGAAAAATTTTATTTCACTCAACAGACCATCACTTTTGCTCAAATTTTCCCAGATTTTTGCCCTTGATCTGCTTTTCCACTCCATCATGGGAATGTGTTTTGTGGACTGCATTGCATGTCATCTCGTTGTGTTACGCGGTGTTTGATTTCAATCGCTCTGGCAGTAGATGGCTCGAAATCTCATCTCAGCCGCGTCAATCATCGTTTGCTCGGCCAGTAGTGCGTACCTCTTCATTGTCTTCGCATAATTGTATCGGGACCTATTCACAGCACAACTGGCCCTCTGTTGCTCAATTCACTCACTACTCCAGTAGTGAAGCAGTTTATCGACAAAGCACCCCCCCCCCCTCCGAATCCACACATATACGCAATCCAGGCTTTGTCTACCTCAGCATTGCCGTGCGGTCTGGGGCTTGTGTTGAGAGCTATTGAACGTGACTATTAGCAATGAACATGGCATCAGCAATGCATTATTGATGTGTTACTACTTTAGAAGTTAACTGTTCTTCGCGCTAGTGCTCATTTCTATGTGCGAGTGTATGTAATCGAGTTGCCCCGAATTTCCCCCATCATTGCAAATCTTGAACAAAAGAGTAGCTTCAAGAACTCGGATTTGCAGCCAAGCATTGCACTCGTATTCTTGTACTTGCTTCTCCATAGCGTCTCATTAAGGTCGGACATACTTCACGCGATTTCGGCCGCGACGCATTCTGGCACTATTTCAATTGTCTATAGCTCATTATAAGGGCATTCTGAATGCACAAAGAAGAATAAGCGCATTTTTTTGTTTGCAAAGTTGTAGACATTATGCATTTGTAGTCTGCGAGTGTTGTATTTTAAGACATCTGGCAATCTGCCAGATCCATACGAATGAAATCGCCTAAAGTGCACGAAGCTCAAAAATGAAAACTACATTACTATTACATCTACAGTATGAACGCAAATTTTATCAGTTCCCTCACTATTGAAGACAATCTTTTTGTTAACTGGAAGAGCATAGTTGTTGGTAACTACATCACTTCAGCCATGATTCAGTTTTCATCCACTTTCGATGACTCATGGTTTTGCAGGCATGGCGTCGTTGGCGTTTCCCTCGACATCAGTACTGCCTGATCCGTCCCACCGGATCTCGACAGGTTCGAACTCTAGCCAGGGAAGCTCCGGATTCGAAAGCATGAAGGTGAGGGTTCAAAACTTTAAAGCATTGTTTTTTTGTTTCTTTTTGTTTTTCTGCTTGTTTTTTTTTGTTTTCTATCCACTCCTTAGGCCTTTTAGTTTTTCGGTGATCCACTCAAGATTGATTATTTGCTTAGTACTTGAACTTTTGTGCCGAGTGTAGTATATTTGTTCTTGGATATAGCCTAAATAAATAGTAATGCAATTAAAGCTCACATACTTTTTTATACAAATGTGAAATTGAGTAGTTCCGCTCATATTTCTCAAATTCACCAATTTCGCAAGAAAATGACATCACTTTGTATTTTGTGGTTTGTTGACTTTGGAAAAGCACTCAGTGTTTCTTTTCACTTTTAGCAATTACGGAACTTTTTTCCTTGATATTGAGATGTATACATCGGAAATTGAAGTAAAGAAAGTGAACGCATCTCCTATCTAAACGCCAGAACAGCACCGCGCATGATCGCACGAATGAGTGACAAATTGACGAGCATATGCTGATGACAATATCAGATAAAAAGCAGTGGCGAATTGACTGAGTTTGACGTGCTTCGTTTCAGTCACATGGAACTACTTCTGCTTCATCGTCGTCTTCGTCGTTCCATACCTCCTCCCTCCTTACCCCTAGTCACACGGACTCACCACCTAGTCGTATAAGCGTACATTCGAGTGGAAGTGGTGGCAGGTTAGTTAGTTGATTAGAGTTTTTGACTCGAGTAAAAAGTTCAACTAGACTTGCATCGTCATGAATATTCAGTGGATCATCGTCGCTCGCTTCGTCATCGGTTGATGCGCTTGACGAGTCGTTTTACTCATCGGCTTCGGAGGCGCCCGTAAATGTCACACAGATGGTGGCGAAAGGCGTACCGGAGGCTGAAATTCTAGCCATCTGGTTAGATAAGATTGGTATGGCCGAGTATCTGGCGCTGTTCCTCACACAAGGATATGACCTGTCCTCAATAGGTACTTACGACTATCTGAAAACAGTTGAAAATCTATGCATCTTCGGTTTCAGCACGAATAACGCCGGAAGACCTGTTAACTCTTGGAATCACAAATCCCGCACATCGAAAACGACTCATAACGGATATTCATAGTTGGCAGATCACAGACAGCTGGCCATCTGTGCCTCCCCAAGGCGGATTGAGGTCAGTGTCCCGTGGGATTACTTTTTATGGTTTTGTTTATGTGCCTAAGCGTTCTGCTTTGCAGTGAATGGTTAACGTTGCTGGCTCTACCGGAATACATAAGTGTTTTCGACTCACAGGGATATGATACAGTACAGGAAGTTATGAATTTGAGCTGGGAAGATTTTGAGGATATAGGAGTGAAGAGGTTGGGACATCTGAAGCGATTAGGCTTGGCGATCAAGAAACTGAAGGTAGGGTTGGCTGGAAGCATTTTTTGGGAAAAGATTTGTTGTTGGAGTCAGACGAAAGCCCTGACTTGCAGGATTATCGACGTTCGATGAATAATCCAGTGGACCCGGTGGCGAATGCAAGCAAAGTCCATCCAGTGCAGGTGCCCTCGCCAATGCTTTCTGCACGCTCCGTCGCATCGCCACAGGAACAACCTGTTCCCTCGTCAAGGTGAGGATACCTGTTGCTGTGAAAACTTTACGATGATAAATTTGCTGTTTTTAGGAGAAATGATCCACCACCTCCAGCTCCTTCAAGTTTATATCGGACAAAAGCGAATCTGAATGGGAACATCGATTATATTAGTTACTCAAGAGGGTCGAAAGTGAGTCCATTGCTAGAGCAACCTAAAACATCTAATAAATCTTTTAGAACCCGCCTGCTCCTCCATCAAGGTCTAGTGAAGAGAGCTCTGGAACTTACACGGAGTTGAGAAGAACCTCAAAAGGATCTTATGACCCTATTTTTGATAAGGTCTGTTCATACAAAGCGGTTCTTGCTCAAGTTACCTTTTACAAAGTCATAGCAATGATTTTTATTTTTAGATCGAGCCGATAAGGTTGAATTTGGTGTCAACTGGAAAAATTCTCAGTGAAGCAAGCCGCGAACGCGATACCCCATCAAGTCTCGGTGCTCCAAATGCTGACTGCCCTCCACCTCCAGGTAAAACTAATTCTGTTCGAAATTCTGCATCTTGAACAACAATTTGGAAGGCAGGCGAGATCTCTGGTTCACTTACAGGCTGATAGATATGACGGTAAATAAACAGCATTTCGTTGTCTACAATATTTGCGCGATAAACAGTTACCGTATTTGAAACTGCCGACAACAACTTGGTTACAGTACGTTCCATTT